CCCAGCCACAACCTATGTCTGCTCGACATCCCCAGCCGGTTAGTCCAGTTCGACAACCTCTACCTCCTCGCTGTCAGACTCGTCGAGGAAAGCAAGGTCGACATCCGGACACTTCTTTCGGAAGCGGTCGAGGATTTGCTCCCCAGCGGACTTCATGAGGGACAGTTGAAGTTCCTCAAACTCAGCGGAGTCCTGATAAGCGTCGAGCCTCTGGTTTATGAGCTCCTCGAAGGCCTCAGAGGATTTGAACTGCTCCACCTGTCCCTCAACTATCTCCTGGAGCTCCCTGGACACCTTGAACGACTCCAACCTGGCGTCGACCAAGCGACCGAACTCCTCGGAAGCCGTGAAGTCCCAGACCGCCTTCAAAGCCACTTCTGTCTGCTGCTGCTGGAACTCGGCGAACGAGAGGGATTCCTCGACGGCCTTAGATCTCCCCTGCCGTTCACCCTCCTAGAAGCTGGCGGCCTTCTCGGTGGTGAGGCTCTCCCCTAGTGACCCCTTCTCGACCTCTAGGTTCAGGGAAAACTCCTCCTGGGCGGCACGAAGGGTCTTGAACTCTTGCTCGGCGTCTTTCGATGCCGCCTCCTTCTGAATCAGGTCTTCCAGCTCCACATAGTTTTAGAGGGCGAGCTCAAGGGCCTGCATATCAAGAGAAAGGATGGGACAAGGTCAGAGCGTAGAGACAACCCCAAAAGAGGAAAGCCAAAGTCAAGGAGCAGGAGAGGGGCATACCAAGAGTTGGCGCGTCACAGTCAGACGCTGGCGTTCCAGAATGCTCCTCCTAGCGAAGGAGTTCCAGGAATCTTCATGGAAGAGCATGTAAATGGCCTGGATAGGAAGGTTGAAGCGGGGAGGAAGGCACATAGTATTGTGGAGATGCCTCGGCACAACGTCCGTGACAACAAACTTGGGGTCATCCACTTTTGACCCTGGCATCACCAGCGGCTCAGGTGCAGGAGGGACCTCCTCGACGCCCTTCCCCTTTTCAAGGCATCGAGCCTGCTGTCATGGTGACTCCTCGACCTCCGCCGGGGCCCGGGAGTCCTCGACCCGCGGCCCCGCGGCGGAAGGTTGAAGCGGGGAGGAAGGCACACAGCATTGTGGAGATGCATCGGCACAACGTCTGTGACAACAAACTTGGGGTCATCCACTTTTGACCCTGGCATCACCAGCGGCTCAGGTGCAGGAGGGACCTCCTCGACGCCTTTCCCCTTTTCAAGGCATCGAGCCTGCTGTCATGGTGACTCCTCGACCTCCGCCGGGGCCCGGGAGTCCTCGACCCGCGGCCCCGTGGCGGATGGGTCGACCACGAACATCCCCCGAGGGAGGGGATCAGCGACACGAGGAGAGGGAGCAACCTAAACAGGCGGTTGCCTCGGCGGTTCTGAAGCCTCATCCCTATTCTCTCTCTTCCTCGGCCTCGCAGGGACAACGTACCTCATTTCTGACGGCACAGCTGCAGAAAGAATAAGGGGTCAGTGCGAGAACTTCTCAACCGTAAGCCTCGGCCTCAGGTAATAACAAGAAAGAAAAGCCGTGACATACAACTCAAGAGATCCGCGGGAGGGCCAACGGGACGTCGAGGAGTGTCGAGGAGCACGGACAAGCCGTATTCTTCTCGGTTCTTGGCAGTGTTAAGAACCGAAGCGCGACGGTTGTCTTCGGGAAGAGCGAGAACCCACTCGACGCGTGCAAGAGCAGAAGCAGGGAGTCGCGGTCGAGGAATAATTTCACTTGCAACAAGAAGCAATGCGTTAGAAAGCTCGACGGACACAATCGGTACTGTCAAGATGAAGTATAGAGAGTGGGGGACCCACAGTATTTGCTGAATACTGTTTGCGTCCCCAAGGGACGCTCACCGTCGAGAGGATGGGAGTTGAAATTGCCCCCAAGGAAAAAGAATTGGGGCTTCCACCCATGGGCACTGGTGGTCTTCTCGACCACCAACGGGAGAACGGGAGACTTGGACTTGGCAGAGGAAGCTAAATAGAAAAACCCTCTCTGGTCTGGGGAGGCCTTGAAAGAGTAACAGTACAAAAATTCGTCGACGGTTAAGTCGACCCCTAAGAATTTCCTCCACAGGATAATCATGGAGTTAATTGTCACCCAACAGTTGGGTGACAGCTGTGCAGGGGATATCCTGTTAAGGCTACAGAGGGCCTTCATACCCGAAGCTAAGAGCCCGGGTGTAACAGTCAATATGATTGGCAGGGGGTTGTGGGCCCGGTCACTGGGGGTCGGGATGATCAAGTAAAAATGCAGGGGATCGATCCCGGCATCATTGAAGGCCTTCAGGGCAGCCCTGGGCCTAATTTTTGATAGGTTAACATCCGTGGCCAAACCCGAGAGGCCACTGGTCGACACGACCCCATATCCTCGGCCTTCAGCAAGGCCGACCTGCCCGCCAGCGTCATCCTCGTTGAGGAGGATCAGCTCGTCTGACCGAGAAAGCGAGGCCGACGCCTCGCGATAATCCTCCACCTGCCGAAGCAGAGAGTCCACACTCTCGTCCGAGGACGAGCTCGTCGTCGCCACCTCAACTGGGTCATCCCTCAACCTGGACGTGGAGACCTCTCGACCCCTAGCTTGTTTGGGCGACATGCTCTGGAAAACAAACAAAGGGTGAAGTTAGGTCCTAATGGTCGAAAGGTCAAGGTGCAATGCAAGGAGGCACGAAGAACGGGCCCCCAGCCAAAGTTCCCAGAACCAGGGGCTGAGAACTCAAGCTCAGCCCCGGGCGTACAGCCAGCCACGGCGGAGGAGGACAGTTTCCCCTTTTTTTCTTGTTTTGATACAGGGTCATTGTTTTACACACAATGGCACCAGGACAATAGCGAAAACAAGGGGGAACGAGAACTTACCAGTTATTAGAAAACGTGGATCTAGGGGGGAAGGTAAGAAGCACGAAGAAGCACGAAGGAGAAAAAGCGTCTAGGAGAAATCTGGCAGCGTAACGGCGTTCAAGGAAATGTGCAGCCTCAACGCCTTCACAGAGGGTTTAAATACACGCCCGAGGAGTCCAAGGGACTCCAAATCCCGACCGTTGAATTTGATTCAGTTCCATCCAACGGTGAATACGAGAAGGCGTGATCCAACGGTTGGGGAGAAAGCAATGAAGAGGGGTCTAATCGGACGGCTACAGTTCATCCTCCAGGGCCACGTGGCGCCAGGGAAGTGGGGACGTGGCTGCTGACAAGATCGACGTGATAGTTCCGCTGCCCGAGAAACCAACCGCAATGATCACTATGCTGACAAGCCGCCGCTGCTACCTGCAGAAGAGCTCTTCTCTCAAGGCATCCTCGACGCTGAGTAGTCAGGAAAGTCGTGCCACGACGTCCCAGCCTAGGGGGTAATTGTTACACCATGGTCGAAGGATCGACCACACTCTCGATGCTAGGCCGAGTCAAGCCCATCAGCGGTCTTGTCAACTCGGGGAAGGAAGCATCAATCCAACGGTTACTGCAGGAGTCAGTGGATCGTGCGGCAGATGAGAGGGGTCAGCCGCCTTTCCTGAGATTGTCATCATGAAAACTCACCTACCCGCCCGAATATCGAGGGTGGGAGATGGCTTCCTCCTTGAGAACGGAGAAGGCTTAGTTGTTTGTAACCGCTTATAAATAGAGCAAAAAGAACCCAGAAAAGGGTTAGACACCATTTCATTACAAAAGAGGAGAGAGTTTGTAACCGACTAAAATACTAGTGCATACACAAGTGAATTAGGCAAAGAGTTATTACCAAACTACTATAAAACTATTGTCTCCCTTGTATTATTTTTGTGTATTAATTCTTAATTAAACCGTGAGTATCAATCCGCATCGATTCTAAAAAGATAATCACGAATTGACGAAAAAACAATATGATTTAAACCAAATTTCACTGCAGGGTTGGACGCGTGAAATCATTGTTATGTGTCTTACACGTTCAATGTATTTTTCCAGAAAAAACGGAAGCACACAATACAGTGGAAAATCTAACCTGATTCTGTAATGGCAGAAAACAGTAAAATGTCGAGCGCTGACGTACGCGTATAGGGTTAGACATATTCCACGTGTCGATTGTGTATTGTCCAGACAGCCCAGATATCGAAATTGTGCTCCCATCAATGCTTTGAGTCGACCTCATACACCTAACTACTAGACAAATTTGCCTATTAACGTGCATGCCACCCCTTCCCATTTTCTCCTCACTATAAAGGGCATTTCTGTCCTAAAAAAAATAAACCTTGCAAAAACCTCAATAACTTATCACCACCATCTTATATAACTCTCAAACAAATACCACCCACCAAGAACAAATATTCTCATCCATTTCAAAATCTTTTGGAAAAAAAAAAAGAGATTTTTTTTTAATTTTATTTTACGGTGATGAAGAAATGGAATATCTTATCGGAAAGGCCGTGGTTCCTGGGCTTGGGCCTGGCCTGTCTGATCGCCGGGGCGCTTCTGATAACCAGCTTCTTGAGAGTCGATGACGTCAGCTCGAGATTGTGCTCCTTAACGGGCGCTCAGATCAAAACCGTTGATCAGGAAAACTATACGGCCACGCCGACGCAGCTCCAGGCAATCCTCCACTACGCGACGTCGAAGGTGGTGCCCCAACAATCACTTGGCGAGATAACGGTGTCGTTTAACGTCATCAAATCCCGGGAGGGCGGCTTTGGGGCGCCCTTCAACTTCCTGGTATTTGGGCTGGGCCACGACTCTCTCATGTGGGACTCGTTTAATCCACGTGGCACAACGCTATTCCTGGAGGAGGACCCGAGGTGGGTCCAGACCGTTCTCCAGAAGGCCCCCAACCTCCGGGCTCACCACGTCCGGTACCGGACCCAGCTCCGCCAAGCCAACGAGCTCTTGTCGTCGTACCGCGCCGAGCCGAGATGCGCGCCGACTGAGGCGGCGGCGCTGCGGGGGAACGTGCGGTGTCGGCTCGCGCTGGATAACCTCCCGGAGGAGGTGTACGAGAGGGAGTGGGACCTGATCATGATCGACGCGCCCCGGGGTTACTTCCCGGAGGCGCCGGGGAGGATGGCTGCGATATTCTCGGCGGCGGTTATGGCTCGAAACCGGCGGGGATTGGGTCCCACGCACGTGTTCCTCCACGACGTCGATCGGAGGGTGGAGAAGACCTTCGCGGAGGAGTTCCTCTGCAGGAAGTATTTGGTCAATGCCGTCGGTAGACTCTGGCACTTTGAGATCCCGTCCGCCGTCGCTGCTAACGTGAGCCTGCCCGGCGCAACCGGGGCCACTTTTTGTTAATGTGAGCCGGCGTCATCAGATGAGTTCGAAAGCGTACGTACGTGAGTTTATTTTTTAAAAATTATTTTTAACACGATGTATGATCTTATTATTAAGTAATACTACTACTTATATTTGATTATTAGGGGCTCTTTATTGCTATTTTTTTTTTTCCCTTGGTGGAAGGAGATTTATGATTTACTGCCCTGTTGTTATAGCGAAAAGAAAGAGCACCAAGTTCTGACGGTGTATATTGTAGAAGAGGAGTATATTTGACATTTTCTAAAGAATTATATGGTATTAGGGGAGTTAGGTGAGTCTAAAATTTGAATTTTATTATAATAAAAAAATTTAGAAATAATTATATTTAATTTTTTTATTATATATAAAATTTTTACATAAAATTAAATCTCGACTCAAATTAAAAATTTAAATCAACAAACTAAACGGATCTTTAAACTTTGGTCATGGTTACGTTTCTCTTACATGCTTTGTTAGTGTTACGAATGACAAAAATATGTTCTTTGTAAGGAATTTAATATTTTAATTTGAACTAACGAATATAACAAAATTTCACCTCTATATATACGGGTGGATCCATTTTCTTATGTTTCATTCTAGTCTGCTGTGTATATTAATTTGATTTCGAATACTTAAAAAAAAGAAATATGAATAATTTTGAGAATAGACTAATGTTTTACCCCCGTTTTTAATAAAGGTTGTTTATTATTTAGTTGGGTCTATGAATGCAACAATTAAAAATGAGTACGACATTAGGTAAAGTATTAAAAATTACTAAATTTAGAAATCAGCTAACCGACATAAATGCTAGCCCTAGACTACTATAGTACGTACTAGATGTTAAGTTCTATACCGGTAGATTTGCGTTGATACGAAGTAACTTTTCTCAGGCTTGGTAAATCTTTTTCCTATCGTATATAAATAGCACAGAAAGTTACGCTATTTAGAGATGAAGAGCATCTAAGGAAGTTTTTTAAATTTTAGTTAAAATAGTTAGAAATCTATTTTAGCTATTAATTTTTTAGTGATATATTTCAATTTTTTTTATTTTAATTAAGTATAGATTATTTTAATATTTATTGAGTAAAAATATAAATAATTTTATTGAATTTAAAAAGAACCTTTACAGTTATTATGGTTTTAAAAAATAAAATAATACAAAAATTAAATGGTTAGTCACTTCTTGTTAGTTATATTTAATTACTGTGAAATGAGTTCTCTAAAATAGTTAATCATTTTACTAATAGTTGGAGTGGAGAAAAACTAAATTATAATTAAATCATTAATTATTTTAGTTAAAAACATAAAATAATTAATATGGTTGGAGTTGCTCTAATACTTAAAAATTACCGTAGCTAGCTATTTTTTTTTTTTTCAAAGAAAGAAAAAGGGAGAAAAGTACGTGTAGATTCTATAAAATGGTTTCCCCGTTTTTAGTTTTTGTATGGTCGTATTCAATATTAATTGGTCACTTGAAGATAGAACTATCTAGTTCACATTTTTTCATAGCCTCACATTAATGATCTTCAAGGTGTGTTTGGTATTTATAATTTGGCCCACAGGTAAGGAATGAAGATGTTTTAAAATTCCTTTGAAAAAGGAAGGTTTAATAATTTACAAGACTTTTCTAATTGTGCGAGACTTGGAAGGGAGTGGATGTGGTCCAGGATTGAAGAGAAATTTTGTTTAAAAGCAAGGGCTTTTTTCCTTTTTCTTTACGAATTTCTTGTGAGAAACTAAAGATTGTCGCAATTACAAAAATGAGAGAAAATATAAGTCAAAAAAGTACGGTGGAAATGTTTGAATTCCTTGGAGTTTGCATTCTTGAACTCGATATTACTTCGGTGAGTGGTGATGGAGCAGTAGTCGAAGGCAACTAGTATATATCTCATTATAGCATATAGTAAAAGTGAATCAAAATTTGAAACCTTATTTATAAAAGCTGACCATGCTTTATGATAAGCTTTTTTTTTACCAATCTATGTTTTCTCAATGATTTCCATCATTGCAAACGATAATTATATGTACTTTGATTACTATTAGCACTGTCAAAAAAAAAAATAAAAAAATAAACTACACAAGTTTTATCAGACATTTCTTTGTATACGTGTTAATCTATAAAAATTCATATATTACAATACATGTCTTACAATATTTTTTTTTTAAAATTTTTACTATGTAAAAGTTATATTATATATATATATATATATATATATATAACTTGTAGTGATATGAACAGCAATACTCATATAATCGGCCAGGACAATAAAGGACATATTGAAATGCAAAAAATTTAAAGTTCACATGGCAGGGGGTAAAATCATATGACGGAAAAGAGGAATGGAGTACAGGAAATTATGGTGGCAGAATGGAAACATGTAAACCATTTGTTGTCTTTTTGTTGTGGATTAAAATAATTGAATGAAGCTGCAGTGACATATTGTGTTGTGTTATTTGTCAGTAGTGGTAGTGCATATTTTGAATCCAACTTTGAAGGGAATTTTGGTTTTGTGACTACCACTCGTTCCTTTGGACAAATGTTATTAGATACGCGTTGTTTTTAGTATTGTTTTACCAGTTTGGCTGGTAAGACGTAGCTTTTTCAACAAAAAATAAAAATAAAAAAATCTAGCTTTCGTGAGCAAGAACTGTTGGGGAAATCAAGGCTAAATCCGGAACGAAAAATAAAAGCAGAAATTAACACCAAAAATTTTATACATGTTATCAATTTGAATCTTTGATTGCGTCTTATTTCTACTGCCATAGATTTCACTATATTATTAAAAAATAAAAAAAAATAAAAATCGGTATAAGAGAATCACTCTATCACTCATTTGTGTTTCTCTCAGCCTCTCATTTTAATTTTCTCTCAAAAACTCATCACACACAATTTTCTCTCTGAATATTTATCCTCGTGCGGGTATTTATAAAAGTCCTAAAAAGAGAAGAAAAGCCACCCTAACGTCACGACGC